TGCAAGTGACGAAGTCGTTATACTTGGTACAACAGTAGAACTGGAACACTTCGCTCACTGAACGGTCAACCTCGCCAGTGCCTGGTGAGATCCATAGTGGTTTACAAATTTCGAACGCCAAAGTCCTATCAGGCTTTTTTTCATTCCCAAGGATCATGATAATATGCGAGACTCAATCCGTAAACTGAAAGACAGATTAGGATAAGCGTCAATATCACTCACCCCGCAGATAGCAGTTGTATTGCTCTGTCCCAGAAGTACTTCATGGTGGTCTTCTGTGACGAAAGGAATTGTAGCAATTGCGTAGGTGGTAAGGTTCCAGTTCCACGTGTCTTAAGAAGCTGCTTTAATACCAATAAATGGATCGCATATAAGGTCGGAGGTTTTCGGGCTATCAACCATCACTTCCTGGCTTGTTATTCCAACATTGGGTCTGGGCTATTGTACCTTTCCTGGAATCACCCGTCTCCCATTCAGATAGAAATGGGTGCCCCTTTTGCCCATGTCTCAGAATTCATTCGACAATTTCGGGTCGTAACTAAAGTGGAAGATGGGATTCATTGGACAAATGTAACGTTCCTTACAGCATCAATATTGTAAACTTACCTTCGCCTCGCCGTTGTTTCCCCGCAACCTGAAGTTCTTTTGCCAGTGGAAGTTTATTGTGTGGTAAGCAAATCGGAATGGCATCCTTGTTGCTAACTTCCTTACTGAATTCGAGGATTGCAAGATCGTGTGTATGAATCCAATCAACCACCTTCCCTTTCCGCATTTTCTGCACGCACAGCTTCCATTTTTTGTCGATAAAAACCTGATGAACAGAAGAGAAAAGGTACTACGCAGAGTAGCTGTTGAACACATTTTGAAAGGGATTTTTGGCAATCTCGTACCTTTGAAACAGGGTATTTAATGCTACAGTTTCGAGGAAGGAGAGGATCATCACAACGGGTACCGACGAGTACTGGAGAAATCTTCTGGCTGGTTCTCTGACAGCACGTATTTTTTCAGAAATTCCATCGCACTCACTCTCATACATCTTACGCTCGTCTAGGTTCGCCGCACAATGTGCGGCCGTAAGAACATGACGTGGTGAGATTAGGGATCCACTGCAATATTGCGAATTATTCCTGAATATTTCCCATTTAAGGTGGAAGACTATATATTTGACACCGCAACCAGACGAAAACGCTCACTTCCTAGTTGTTTATCAATCCGTAGATTGACCATCCAGGGGTACTCGCCTAATTTAATAGGACGTCCTCCAAATATTTTGAATGTCGAAGAAGATCCTGAACCTATGGTGCTAGTTTTGTTCACATTGATCGGCCATAGAAGCCGAAATATCTCATTTTTCATGATAATCACGCCTTATTTCTTTAGTGGGCTTCGATCTTCCTACTG